ATTTATTATTATTATATATATATATATATATATATATATATATACAATAATTTATTAAATTTTATTGACAATTATAAATTGATATTAGTTTGACTAATCTTTTTTTCACTTTTGTAAAGTTTTTTTTTTAAATTTTTAAGGTTAAAAATATCATTTTTTTTGATATATCTTATTCTTTGATATATCAATTAAAAATTGATTTCTTTGATTGATTTCTTTAATATGAAAACTTTTATAAAATAAATAAACTTTTCGTATGTAGATATATTTTTTATAAAATGATTTTTCTATAATTAGAAACAACGAAGTACGTGTAAAGTTTGTGTCATTTTTTTTATTATACACTCGCGCACGTATACATACGCACATACACGCAGACGCGTGCGCGCGCACAGCACGAATATTTAAAAAGTATAGTTTTGAGCATAAATGATAAAAACAAGTTTATGCTAAAAAAAAAGAAAAAAAACATATACGTTTGCAAATAAATGGAATACTCTGATTAGTTTCTGATTAAAAATTATTTTATTCAGATAAAACTAAAATTAATGGAATTTTACCTGTTGGATTCATTGTATCGGATTTGTAAAAGTAAATTCTCTTCATTCGCGTATAAAATAATCAAATGGAAATAACTCTCTTATATTATATAACAATATAAGAAATATATAACAGCATATTGTGTGAGTTTATTGCACCGAAGATATTATGAATCGATATTTATAAGAATATCTTGAAACAACATCCATTAGAAATTATTCAAAATATATATCTTTCAATAAAAGAAAATCATTTTTCAACACAACGACATTCGAAACAGATTGAGAAATATATTTTGGGAATATAATGATAACGGTTCGTGTCGGTCGATTAAAAAAATCAATTAAATCGTCAAGCTTGTAAAAGGAAAATGATTGCTTTAAAATTGCTTGGAATTAGAATTTATATAAGAGCGGTTCTTCGCGTCGCATCTCGACTTCTTCGTGTCTTGCAATTGAATGTCCCAACCTATTCCTCGCAAGGTCAGTTGTCCGGACATTATTTTTCTTCCAGATTTTTCTAGCATCAAAATATTTTCATCATGTTATTATTGTAAATCTTCATATTCTTCATTTATATTTTAAATGTTTCGAATGATTATAGGAGTTGCAAATTATTTTATTTCATGACCGCTAGTACAAAATTTTTTAAAACTTATTAAATCTACCCGAATCCTAACGTTACATAACGAGACATTCGGGAAGATGCAAACAGAAAATTATTTTCGCAGCGCGAAAACGATTGAGCGAAATTTGCTTTTAGAAAAAGAATACAGTTGTTATATTTGTCTGCCGACTCCGTAAATACATAACGGCACCGTATCCTAACTGTGTATGCGCGTATATGTGTCTCTCTGACGACACCGACAGTTCGATTTTAAGAGCCATGGCAATATATTCGCCACAGTATATTAAATTAATTAAATCACCTTTTTCCATTTTGGAATGGCAATCTTAAAATTCAGATCTAAATTTGCTTAAAAATCTGCAGAATTTATTAAAGAAGCGAGTATTCAACAATTCGTGTGTGTGTGTGTGTGTGTGTGTGTGTGTGTGTGTGTGTGTGTGTGTGTGTGTGTTGTTGTTT